TGCGTGTGTGTGAGTGTGTACGGGTGGGCATCTTTAAGATTTTGTTGATACAATACGGATCATCTAGAAACAGAGGACTTTCAATTCAATATGATTTGATGAAATATATTTCTAAATGATACCATATGATTCAGAACAAAGGACACAGTTCTATTTCATTTATTGAAGATTGCTTAATGTGTTCTGTACATTATTTTTTAGAAAAAACAAACTTTGTTGCAGCATGATGGCGCAGCAGTTAGCGCTTGTGCTTCACAGCAGGAGGGTTCCTGTGAAGCTATGTGGCGTTTGCATATTTCCCCTGTATCTGCAGCATAGGTTTCCTCCAGGTGCTCGGGTTTCCCCTATCACTAGAAACATATACAATAGTTCACGGTGAATGAATGTGTGTTTGTGAGTGCCACTGTGGAACAGCGGATGCAAAAAGGCTCAAGGCTACAATCCCTGTGTGCACTGTCCCAACCAAATAAGATCAATACATATAACATTTTATTTCGGGAAATCCAATGAAAATCAGGTCTGACCCTCCAGAATATAACGATATCACAATGTTCCCCCCTTGAGGAAACTATTGCTTCCTCCCAAACCAGGCTTGTCCAAACTCAGGTTCTCTGTGCCATTTTATGTGGCCATTCTGCCATTAACACAAAGTCGCCATTGAGGCACTTTGACATAATCATCCAACCAACTTCAGCTCCACCAATACAGTCATGCTATTCCTTGTTGTACATTTCAGACCCTCTGGAATTCAGTCGGCGTGAATCAGTAAGGATGTATCTTGACCCATTTTAAATTCCAGAATTCATTCAATCTTGCTCAAATCCAGTATAATTTAAATCCAGGTGGTCAACCCCAGGTTGAGTCTGATGAACTAAACTGGCCCTCTTGCTAAAAAGTTTGGACACCCCTGCCCAAAACCCTCTCCTGACCGCTTACATAACCCTGGTTTTTGTAGGTCAGGCCTCAGTGGGACAGTGCCGTGTTAAGTTGATCTAGAATTAGTGCCACTTGTTTGGTCCCGAGAGGCCAGGGATTAAGAGTAATAAGCCTCTCCTGTCCGCAACACCCTGACATGTCGTGAGTGCGAATGTAGCCCTCGGTCTGGGCTTCTGGCTGGACTATGGACATATTTGCCTTTATACTCGTGATAGTCCTGATTCGGATGCGGCCGTGCGTGGCGTTCTCCCAGTGTTTGCGTGGCTGCAGTTGTGTGGAGGACCGCTATGGACGGTAAGGAGCTGCAGTAATCTCTGAAGTATTTTTAAACCCTGTGTCAATCCAAGTTGGAAAATAAACAGGGAAAGTATATTGTTTACATGCTTAATTTGATCATCTGAAATTTAAGTCAAACAATTAGTGAGCTACAGATACATTGAAGAAATATTTTGTTGAAGTTGTATTGACAACATCTTAATGGTAATGTTTAATGCTTGATTATATATCTGATACTACAGAATCATGGAAAAACCAGGTGCTCGGGAGAGACCTGAACAAAATAAATGAAAAGTGTAAAATGTCCTATATCTATACATTTGGATCAGTAGTCTCAAAGGGTATTTCAGAATTGCTTTTCTCAGATAAAACAGATTATTTATATATAATTATACATGAAGAAAACATATGATACAAAGGATAGTTGGGCTTTCAAATAAGTGGGCTACTCTAATTGTCTCTTGGTCTCGGCCTGCAAAAGTGAAGATGTAACAGCCTCTTGTGTCATCACACAAGAGGCTGTTACATCTTCACTAATTTCAACATTCACACTGGCAACCCAACTGATGACCTCATGTGAGGCGTATTCTGTATTCTCATTGGCTAATATCTCAAACAGGAGCATTCTTGCAAATGCTTAATTATTTCTACCTTTATCCTTGTTCATACTTGGTTTGGTTGGTGCTGCCAAACTCTAACTTCAACCCTACTCTAAACCCGGCCCCTTACTCACATTTCTGAAACAAAGCTTCCTTTCTAAAGAACTGTAACCTGTTTATAACCTCTTTTTCACATTTGAGAACATAGAATTGTATGAAAATATTTTTTTGTTTTGAAAATGGAATAGCCCTAAACTAAACAAACAACATGAACAATGTTCATTGTTTTCATAATTTAGAATAAATCAGCATCAGCAAAAACGCTAATAACTTTTAAATTCTTCTGCCCTAGGTCTCTCACTTGCATGGAGGATAATTTGTTCCGGAGCATCCCAGAAGAGCTGCCTGAAGGCCTGACTAAAGCGCGCATCGAGAAGTCCCACTTCAGCGAGATCCCACGTGGAGCCTTTTCCCGGAGCACAGAGCTGGAAAACCTGTGGCTCAACTTCAACGACATCGCTCTCATCAACTCTAAAGGTCTGGAGGGTCTGTCCAACCTGACAGAGCTACGCCTGCAGGGGAACAAGCTGCGCTCTCTGCCATGGACCGCCTTCGAAGACACGCCCGCACTCAAGATTTTGGACCTGAAGAAAAACCAGCTTGATGTCCTGCCTGAGAACGCACTCAAATACTTGCATGGGCTCACCTACTTGGACTTATCTTTCAATCAGCTCACGGTCATATCCAAGGAGGTGTTCCTAAACTGGCCCCTGTACCAGAAGCTGCGGAGTCAGGAGGGCGCAGAAGGGGGCGATGTGGGGCCGAACGTGGTGCTAGCGCTTCACGACAACCCCTGGCTTTGCGACTGCCGCCTCAAGGGCTTCGTGGAATTCACTCGCTCCCTTAGCCCTCCCATTATTCTCATGAACTCTTACTTGAGCTGCACCGGGCCAGACTTCAAGGCGGGCCAGTTCTTCCATGAGGTGGAGGTGCGCACGTGCATCAAACCTGTGGTCAGTCCCGCCACTGCCAACATGAGCTTGGCCCTGGGGGGAAACGCCACGCTGAGCTGCCTGGCCAAGGCGCGGCCCCAGCCATCGGTGTGGTGGACATATGGACTGAAGATAATCAGAGGATTTCATGGTAAGAGTCGGTTGCACCCAGCACAGACACATCAGGGTTTAATCGCAGGGCTGAGCTCCTCCAGCGGTGGAACATAAAGCTCTGTATCGACGTTGAAACTGTGTATAATTACCATGGTGTGTGCGAGTGCATGTGAAGTTGATTAAGACTGTGAGATTACAGCGGCCTGTGGTCTAATGAATGAAAGTGTTGCGCACTGTGTAACATGGCCAGCCCTGCGTCAATGCCCCTGACCTTTACCCTGCTCTTACGTCTACTATGCACTGTAGTGAGGCCAAAGCACTGACTGGAAATACACTTATTTAATAGTAAGACCGAACATTTATCTGGCTTCATGAGGTCCACAAATTTGATCAATGACTTGGGACTTGGGTCATTTCCAGTTTTATTACTCCAGTTCTATTTGCAAAATCAAAAACTTAATCCTAATCTCAGGCAAACTTTTGACTGTTACTTTTAAACAAAACAGTCTTGAAACCAAATTGTCATTTGGGAGATTGAGCCGCATTTTAGAAATTATGCATAATTTCAGTAACATGGGTTTGACTCTTTATCAAATCAGTTAACCTCTAACTCTATGTCTTTACGTTTTAACTTTAAAGAGGAGATTTCAAAAATTGATGCTGTGAAGAACTTGATTCAATAACACTCAATCGACTCTTGGTTACAGACCATCATGAAACTTGAACATTTAATTTTGGATCCAGTTTCTCTGGTCAGAACGTTATTGAAATGTGATGTGTATTTATAAATGTCATATAACCCCTCCTGCTTGTGTGTGTAGAGTTCCAGGAGCGTGTGGACGAGGACACTGTGCGCTCCCTCTTGCTGATCCCGTCCCTTCAGGTGTCTGACCGAGGCATCTACACCTGCACCGCAGTCAACTACATGGGCAACTCTTCTGCCACCATCCTCGTGGACATCCAGACTCCAGAAGGCTCCACTGCTCACTCCACAAACAAAGAAACAGCGGCCCAACCCTCGTCTGCCCAAGAAAACATCTTCATTGACATCCGCATCGCCAAACAAACTGTCCGGGGCATATCCATTGAGTGGTATGCCGCGTTGGAACACCCAGATCAGACTTGGTTCACCATTCACTTTGGACGCATCGACACAAAGAAAGAAACTATTTTTATTGGCCCGGGAATCAACTCATACACGGTTAACGACTTGCTGCCTGCTACTAAGTACGAGATCTGCGTCACGCTAAAGAACGAAAGCCCGCGGCCCGGTCAGTGCATCGTGTTTGTGACGGGCAGCGATATTACCGAGATGGAGCAGCGGGAGAAGCTGATTCACATCGTGGTGATCGTGTTGGCCATGGTACTGGCGGTGCCCATTGGGATGTACGCGTGCACTACGGACACCAAACTGGCATGCGTGGAGAGGATTCTGATCTTGTGGAAGAACAGGAGAGAAAGCAGGAGCCAGGGAGCAGAAAGGGAAAGACAAGGGACGTTCGACAGTCTGCAAGCGGCCAGCGACGAAGGCCTGGTCAATAAAGACTCAAGTGAGGACCGCAAGGTGAGGAGGAGGTCAGAGGACAGGTCCATCAAAGGCAGGCTCAGTGCCCAGCTCTACTGAACTCTGAGCAGATCAGTGTGGGTGTGTTTTGTAAAAGATTGGCCCATAAGCCGAGTACCCCTTTTCCATAAAGAATGATTGTGATTTTTGAGGAACTGCGAAACTGCGTTAGCGTCAAAAGCAGAGATGTTGTGGGCAGTACTGAGACGCCAAAGCTTTGCCAAATTCTTTTGAGCAAAGTTTGAACTTAACAAATTGAAAAAAAAAATGGTGTGTGAAAAAACATTCTGATCGTGCGTAGATTTGAGGTTTATATTGTTGGACAGGGGTGGCAACTGTACTCATCTTAGGTTATGGCAAGGGAGGTCTATTTTGTATAACACAGTTCATACACAAGGCAACGCAAAATGCTGTATTAAACAAGAAAGGAATCATTCAATTGCTCTGTACTAGTAAAAATCCCCTTATAAATACATTATTCCTATACTCAAGCACAATCTGAAAGAACAAGCTTTGTATGTAAAAAAACATCAAATACATTTAATACGTTTTTTAAGCATTACCTCTGAAATATGATACTGTTGTAGAAATATTTCATACTGTCAGGATTTGACAATAAGGCCTCATATCAGGAAATAAGAATGTAAGTACTTATGTGAGTTTAGGTACTTGCCACCTCTGCGGTTGGATTCTCTTCAAAGTCCACATTTTAAACATACAGTTTTCAGACAATTTACAGAAGTACTAAAAGGCAAAAGAAATAGAAAAGATAATAAACCAGAGGAACAACCATAATTAAACACGAATTGCAAAAAAATTATCAAAAAAATGTCAAATGTTTTGTTCGTTTGAGGTTCTGCACCTTAATAAAACTGAAATATGAAATGCTAAACTATTTAATAAAAGCATTTCAAAAACACAAAAGGTCTGTATGAAAATTTATAGAATGAGCAGCTACAATATGTGAAGAAATATTTCAAAATATTTAAACAATTTCAGTCTTTGTGTCTGCTAAATGCAGCCCCCAAAATTGCAATCACTCTGGCAGAATACTTGTGTCTGGAAACAAAACGCTGTGTTTGAATAAAAATGTGAGGGTGAAATGTGGCTGTTTTCTTAATGCTGTGTTCCTCTGTTCTAGGCTCGGGAGGTGTGATAGAGGACGTATGGCACTCCCTGAGCTCATCTCTTCAATGTTACTGAGCGCAAAAATTGAAAAAAACAGATCTCTTTGAACACATTAACGCAAGGAGAGACTTTTAAGAATAGTATGAGCGTTTGACCATGTTATAATGGTGTTAGCTCACAAAATATTTACCTGAATTTCTATAATTGTGAAAAAACACAGGCTTCACACAAATGTCATTTACAAGGACAATAAAAACATGGGTGTAAATGGTGTTGTGTAATTATTAAAGGGGGTGCGACTTTTTCATACTTGTGTTTGTTCCAAAAAAGCCTGGCAAATTAAGATTAACAGTTGGGACCTTTCACTGTTGCATCACAAGTTACAAAACAGTTGGAATCTCTAGTTTTACCTTTTTTGTTGTATAAAGAAACAAACATACAGACTTTTCAATCTGAAGAGACCAAAGACACGATAAATACATTAAAATGATTTATTTGTTTGGCGCATTGACCCCGGCAGTGACACTTGCAGCTATGAGATCGATTGCAGCTGAGATGATCTCAGATCCCCCGGGGTCAATCACTGGTGGTGGCTAGAGTATGGTGTGAATGGGGCGTAGGCGGAGCAGGAGTGGGAGCCTAGAGCGGGAGCCAGAGCGGGAGCCAGAGCGGGAGCCAGAGCGGGAGCCAGAGCGGGAGCCAAGAGCCAGAGGGGGTGCTGGGGAGGTGGTGGGTGTTTAAGAGCCTCAGGAAGCGTTGTTTGTCAGGAAGTGGTTGCCTTTTAAACTACCCGCTTTGCTCTGAGAGGGTTGGCAGGAGGCTGGCCTGGCTGTGTGATTGGCTGAGGCTCGAGGCTGGCAGAGCTGTGTGATTGGCTGAGGCTCGAGGCTGGCAGGCACTCGGTCTTTCAGTCTGAACATCCGCTTGAGCTTCATGTAAGTATACAAATAAACAGATACATCTGTAATACACTCTAGTGCAAAAATATTTAAGTCATGTTTTTGCCTAGAATGTCACATGCTATGAACAAATCAGACCATAACATGCATCTTATTAAAACAATTTATATTTTGTTTGACTTGAGTTTTGGGCTGAGTGAGAGTGGTCTATTCTTTTTTAGCGTTCCGAAAAAGCTGATCAAAAGAAGTGACAGACATTGAAACAAAAGAGTCAACCGAGATAGGAACTCAATACATTTTGTAGTTTTTGTATGGTTTAAGAAAGTTAGGTACCCCAGCTTTTAGAAGACTAAGTAAAGATTATTCATATAGCCCCTTTCACAGCGCAACACAATTATCACAAGTTCAAAACACCGCAGTTTTGATCATCAAATTTCACATCTATCACCAAAGTTACCGCTGTTAGAAAAGCAATGTGCTGTTTTGCTCCTTTGCCACAGAACATAGAAGCGGACCAGATTACACAAAGCTGCTGTTTCCACCGTGTAGCTACATTGACAACAGCATATGCTTAAGCCGCATGCGTCACGGCAGCATCTTCTAAGCAGCCGCGCACATTCTGTTGAACGTCACTCTAAACAGAAGGCTTAGTGTACGCACTGGACATCAAGCATTGTTCATTTGGCGTAATACCTCCGGCTGTCCCATGATCCTCCCTTGGTCCAGCGCACCAGGAATTGGCTTTATGGTACTGACTCCGAAGAGGAGAGGAGTGATAGTTGGTCATTTTCTGAACATACGCTTTGCTATGATGTTATTGCTGCTGTTGTTGTTGTTGTTGTTGTGGTAGTGGTAGTTGGGGGATTGGGGCTGATCTTGGTTGTATTGTGTGTAATCCCTCGATGTCAGACATAGGAACAATGCATGACACACCTGATCGTTCGTGCTGATGCGGTACACATGAAACACAAAAGGATATTGTAGCTCTAAATATAATGTATTTTTAAACTGACGTATGTAGACTCTTAAAGCTGGGGTAGTACCTATTTTTTTAAAACACATAAAATGGATTTATGTAGCTTGTTCCTGACTCTAAAACAGTTTGGTTCTAACACTAATTATAGATCAGTAGAATAAGATCAGTCTTTTCAAACAGAAACATGAAAAAGAGAGGACCGATCAATTGCAACAAGTGAAATAGTGACTCAAAGGGATCTTTCATACAAATATGCAAAAGATAACATGTTGTGGTCTGATTTGTTCACATTTCACTTTTACAAAACTCTTACAGTTGAGAGACACAAAATGTATGACTCATGGAAACAGAAGTTAAGAGTCCCTAAACTCTATGTTGTTCATGAGACAATTGAGAAGCAGGAGCCATTGGTCATGGTCTCAGATTTGTTTCAAACAACGCTCACTGTTGTCTCCAGGAGAAAGAATCGTGTCAATATTGAGATCTTTTTGCAAATTTTCTTTCGTAAGGGCCAACTTTAAAGGAGACATATTATGCAAAATCAAGTTTCACTCTCTTTAAACCATGTTTCAACATTGTTCCATTATTCCATCCACGCTATTATCAGGTACTTTTGACACAAACATGTAACCCCGACCCTTCTGTGTAAAAGCTGCTGTCTAAGTCCTTTGTGTCGTCATTGTACCACTATGACATCAATCTCAGAGCAGATTTCTTTAGATTTTTTTATTTAGGCCACAGTGGTCTCACAGAAATGCATTTCATAAAAAGACAAAGTAAAAAAATGTTATGTATGTATGTATAAGTTACTGATAGAAAGTTACTGGGTTATGTACCACAATTGAACGTACCTTTCATACAAGAGTAAAAGAGCGAGAAAAATAAGACTCATTCAATCTGAAATGATGGCCATCACTGGCTTTTCAGTCACACAAGGATAATCCCAGTGCTGTCTGCGTCATCATAACTGGCTCAGATATGATGCACACATACACGCACACACACAAACACAAACACATGCACACAATGTCTGGCCAAACTCACTGGGCACAGGGACATGGATCTGGTGCCAAAGGTCCAATATTGCAAAAAGAAGAACAAATTAGTCCCTAGATTAGAGATACATAATCTGCAAAATGTCATGTTTTATATAACTTTGGAATGGTGGGCATGTTCTGCAGTTGGACAAATTCAGAATTGGTTGATCCAAAACTGACGCAGGGTCCAAGGTCTTGATGATGACGAAGAACTGAAGATAATGTAAAGCAGGGGTCTGAAACTCTGGTCACACAAAGTCAAGTCTGGTCCACATGAAGGATTGTATTTAAAGCGGGTGTGTGTGTATATGTGTGTGTGTGTGGGCAAAATACATAACCTCTGGAGCCAACCACTATGAGTATATGATGCACATGCAAATTCAAGTTATTTTACTTTGCATACAGAATTTAGCGCCTGGGTTGATGAAAAAACAAAACAAAACCGCATACAATGTATTGGTTGGCTCTTATGTTTCTAGCTACTTGTCACAAAACTGGACCAAAGGAGTGTCGTAAACTGCTGGGCTGCATAAAGTGTACTTTGAATTCTTTATTATTGCGTTCTGGGTTCAATGTTAATGGTGATATCAATGGCATGTTTGTTTTTTTGATAATTTGCTTTATCAGTCCACAATCTCTGTGGAGGTCACACTGACTATGAACTCTGATGTTCACAAGGGAGCCACCAAATGTATTTGGTTTGCAGATAGATTTTATTTAAGGTATCTGTAAATAATCATTATGGCACATACATGTAGTTCGATGGGCTGCACAAATAAACTAAAGTAGGACATAATACAGTTTCGGATTAAACCTGGATTAAACCTGGTCCAATTTAAACCTGGTCCAACTTAAACCTGGTCCAATTTGAGAAGACTGGAGGATTCAAATAAACTCTGAGCCTTTTCCTCTGATCACTTCACTGGAGGAATGAGAATTTTTTATGGTGTTTTATCTGACCACTTGAAGCCAAAGTACAGAAAATATCAGTTTCATAAACTACCTTTCTGTCTCTGCACTTATGATTATCAAAACTACGTGTGATATTCTAACTTTTTACCTCAAAAATGTCAAGGATGAAAACAAATCAAAACCTGTGGTTATTTTGCACTAAAATGAGGTTTATCACTTCTACAGTTTGAAAAGTAAATATGCTGTTAAAAGTCAATGTAAGTCTATTTGAACACCTCATTAAGGTAATTACAATTTTTGGTTTGCATTTTTTACTGCATAAAAACACAACAACATTGTATAAGTGCTAGTATAACATGACGGTAACCTTTATCTAAAGTTAGATGAAAAATGTGGATACCACGATGATTAGTTCAGAGTACTGCAGAATCTGCAGCTGTGTTTTACATTTTATGCGTGGCTTTTGACAGCTGCAGCTGCACTGAACAGTTTCATATCTCTGCGATCGCACTTCAGCAGTCGTGACTTCAGGTGGTTAGAAAAGCGTATATGTGTGGTGAGGGGTTTCCAGCCTGAAAAACAAATAGTTGCTACTTTGTGGATTTCACTCACTGCAGGTTTTTGTTTAATCCCAAGTGACAATGATTTCCTGAGAGAGAAATATTAATAAAAAAGGAATGAAGTATGAATTGACTCGAAGAAGCAACACTCTCATCCAGTAGTAGAAGAGGCAAATGTTATTCTACTCTTACATCTAAAATGCTGCGGTCTAATTTTAAAGTATAATGTTGAAAAGATTTGTCAATTAAAAAAAGCCTAACCCTAACCCTCTGGACGATGTCAGATTGTCATGGCTTCTAAATGCCTTATAAAGTTAATAAAATAAAATATGTGGAGTGACTTCTCATCCTTCTCCAAAAGGTGTCGGGCAGGAGCTGGTTTCTCGTGTCCTCAGGCACCGTCACTAAAAGACTAATCCAATAATCAGCCTGAGCAGAACCTATTATTTTCACATTTCTACCAAAACAACAGAAGGACTCGAAATTACAAATGAGTTTATTGGTGACATAGAAAATACGTCTGATTGAGAGAAAACAACTGTGGAAGCTTTACCAGCACCGGGAGAGTAAACAACCATCTCAGATTACACTGCAAACAAGAAACGTCACGCTGTTTTACACATTTAAAGTTGGGGTACTTAACATTCAAACCAAACCAAAAATCATTATGTAATAGAAACTAGTTCCTTGCTCTCAAAACAGTTCTAACGCTAAATTTTCACATTCATGCATTTATTTACTTCTGTCACATCCTTTGATCAGAGGAGGACCACCCTCAGTCAGCCAATCAGATCTGATCCCAAAGCACCAAATAGTGACTCCCCGGGGCTTTCTTACAAGTACATGTTTTCTGTTAAGACGAAGACGGCATGTTTTGATCTGCTTCGTTGGGACAAACAAAATATTTTATGAGAACAAAGCTACATACCCCAGCTTTAATAGATAGATAGATATACTTTATTGGTCAAACAATGGAGAAATTCATCCATTGTCACCCATATTCTGACACATTGAGTTATTAAATTATTGATTGTTTCTCTACTGTAGAATAAGCATTGATTGAAACGCCGTATACAAAGTTGCGTATTTAGACATTACATTATAATTGCAGTAATTTCACCATTCCTTATTGCAGTGACCAGTCCCTTTACACCTTAGTAGTGGGATTATGGCTCCTCCTCCTTGGGTCGCTTGCCGTCCGTGGAGTTGATCTCTTTAAGTCAGTTCAAGTGTCAGGAAAATCTGTGGTAAGAAGATTGGGCTGATCCCAAATAAAACTGTCTCCCAGTGAACAAGTCGAGTGTCCGTAAACACGCAGATTATGTTTGGGACGGAATATGTGGAATTCAACTGTTTTTATTTACAGTATTTCACAAGGCATTTACATGAGAGAAGAGCAAAACTGCCATAATGAAGAGGGTCGAAGAAAATAATAAAGAAAATAAAGAGGAGATTAAGATTGTGTGATAGGTTGTATACGACTGATATTTTTGGTTTTCCAGAGATAAGGAAGTTCTATGGAAGCCGATTGCATCAATGTAACAACGTCCAGTTTTAATTGTTAAGGTATTTACATGCACTTTCATAGTTATTGATGTTATTGGCTCTTTCCATCATCAGATTTTCTAATTTGCTATTGGCAATCAACTATTCGCTGCTGTTGTATTTTTGGGATGTAGAAAATTACAAGGCTATATTTAACTTGATTTTTAGTGAAGTGTGTGGGTTCTAAAACAAGATTTGCTAAAGGGACAGGCAACATTATCTTGTTTTTGCAAAGAAATAAAAATAATATTGCAACTGGCCTTGAAATAACAAATAGTTCCTTGTCCCAGAAACAATCTTTTTTTTTAAGACAAACAAAATGTAAGTGGAAATTTAAATCTAAAAACTTATATTTTATCAACTGTTGCAGTGCAGGAAACAACGGCCACACAAAACCCATGTGAGGCATTTACATGTTGTGTGCAGAGAACATCATTATGGCAGTTTTGTGACTTTAAACACATACCAAACTATTGATTATTGATCCGTTTCTGCTCCAGCCTCAGCTTGAGCTCCGACACCAGCGCTCTGTTGACGGGGTCCTGCTGGTTGCTGGGCGGCCTCTTGCGGGGCTTCGGCACAGGCACGTGGGCCGACACGGTGGGTACGGTCCACTGCCTGTCCCGCGGTAAGCTCGGGGGCGGGGGCGGAGGTAGACTGGGCGCACACGGTGGAGGCGGCCAGATCCTCACCACGTTGTTGTTGTAGTTCACATTCTCCACGGCCGGCGCGCTCTCCGGCTCTTCCACTTTGAACTTGTCGGGGTCTTGTCTCCTGAACGGACTGTTTATCCACGAGTTCTGCTGCTGCGGCTTCCTCCTGCGGACGCGGCGGTTGGGGAGGATGCGGTTGGTCTTCTTGTTGCGCATGAACATGACGGTGGAGATGATGACAGTGACTAAGACCAAGAGGCAGATGGCGCCTCCCAACATGCCCAGTATGTGCAATGGATTGGTCCTACTCTGCATTATCATGGTGGACAAGGGCCCGCCACTCAGTCTGGTCTGTAAAAGAGCACAGGGAGAGTTCACGTCCATTGGAGTGAAGTCATGCGTGCAAATTCGAGTAAAGCTTTTGCGGTTTTTGACAGCATGGGAAATACACATTGGTTTGAATATGCGTTTATAATTTTGAGTGAAAGTTATAGCAAGTCAAGATCAGAAAGGCTGCAGATGAAATCCTTGCCAAGACCATTCAGTGAATCAAAATGAAAAATTGGTCAAAACTTTAGCCTCATATTCTAGAATACGGATGTCTGGAAGCCTTTTGTCAAAGAGTTGATATGGTTAAAAGGTTTAACCATGTGCCCTTGAATGTATACGACTGGGCTGTATTTGGAAGCTCCATTTTAAGAAATGCATTTTCTTATGATAGAACCTTTTGGTTCTGTATATGTTTTGTTTTTTTCTTTAAGTGGAATAATAAAATCCAAATTTCTCCAGAACTCTTTTACAGACCCTATGTTTCAAGGTTGTACAAAAGTCATTACTGCATAAAGGTAAAAAGCTGCTCTGGGAACAATAGACAGAGGACAGGTGACGGCTGATGATGTCACCTTTACGTCACAGGCCTCCGTGCAATCTTTCTGATCTTGCTCTTTGGTTTGACGCGGGTCTTTTTCACAGAGTTCCAGTAAATCAGAGTGGAAATGAAGACTGTGACCCCCACGGCGAGTGCCACTACGGTCAGACAGAGCCCGAACACTGCGCTGGGGCGCTTCTTTAGACGCAGGAAATACGAGTAAAACTGGGATTTCACCTGCAACAGGACATAACAGGAGTAAGACACATTTCAGACCTAAAGCATTCATTCATTTTGCCCTCACTGATCCTCCTGCAGGTGGTGAGTCCACAGGAGCCTTGATCTTCCAGTAGGGGCTTTGGGCTAAGTGGGGTTAAGTGTCTTGCCCAAGAACACAACAACAGCTGTGATCAGTGGGAGTCGTGAAGTAGGTCTGCTGGTGGATTTCGAACCTACGACCTTCAGGCCCAAAGGTTGATGCTCTACCAACTGAGCTACTGTCGCCCCAACCTAAAGCAATGATTCTGTATTAATGTCTCTACCATGGCTTTGAACAATATTAACGCGCTAAGAAGTGTCCACGGGGTGTGCCGCAAGTTCCCATTTTATTTTCTAATTGTATGCTCCCCCTTGGTCAGGGCCATAATGAGTCCTTCCATTGCTATGCAGACAAAACACAAATGGGGGTGGATCAAGCGTTGGCTTCGTCCAACCTCTTCTCAAACCGTGTACATACCTGTATATTGGTCTGCTACCACTCGAATTTATGTCTGTGCAGGGTTTAGAACGATTAATTTAACTTATACACCTCCCACTGAAACCTAACCACCCTGGAAGTCTGGCTGCTGTAGTACAATGTTTTAAGGACATGGACAACCGCACGGCCTATAACTTTCTGCAGCTCAACCTCTCCAAATCTGAAGTCCTCCGAACCGACTTGCATCAATATATCTCCCATATCTAAACTCGAGGTGGGTATAATCGCATTAATGACATGAAGATTGCTTATTTGAACTGAAACATATTCCAATAATGACATTATATACTGGGGTGAAAACAAACAAAAATCTCAGTTGGAATAGGCCCAGTGTGTGTCTTTGTGTGTCACTCACAGCCTCGGTGATGTCGATCTTGACCACTGCAGTAGTACTGAAAGAGGGCTGTCCTCTGTCCCGCGCCTGCACCACCAGGGACCAGCTGGAGTCCCGTTTGTTGGTGATGTTCTGGATGATGGCCATAGACTTGATGTAGGACTTGAGGTTGATCTCTCCAGTGTCTGCGTCGATGTCAAAGATGTTAGCATTGGGCTCCGTCTTCATGATGGTGTACTCGATCACGTTGTTGGGGATTTCGGCGTCGTCGTCAACAGCCTGTGGGAAAGAAAGTCACAAGTTAAGTAAGCCTTTCACAGACCAGAGTCACAAAGCGGTTTACAATTGTTACAGTATTTATTTATTTTTTTGGGCATTTGTCCTCTCACTCCACACAGAGATGGGAGCGGGGTTAACTGAGATGTTTAATTCAAATTTATTTATTAATCAAAAAGGCAGCAAACTGGTTGCCCCATCCCGGACTCATGGGCTGCACCCCCCTCCCTGTCTGGGAGCCTCTTCAATCCTGGATGTACAGCATCAGTCCTAGTTTTACAGCCTGAGTCCTGGATCAACAATCTGTTCGGGAGCGGATGCCTCTTTCAATATGGCCATCCCCAAGGTTACAAATGTGGACCCTTCTGCAGAATTATTAACATGTATGGACATTGGTCATCCCGTCCCCTAGAACCAATGGTTTCTATGTATTTGTAATTGTTGCATTTCTTCTGTTCAAACTGTTTGATTCACTGATCTGTTTTTGGAGATATGACAAGTTAGTAAAATCTTCCTGCTGTCGTAATTTAGGGCTAAAACAAAAAATATATTTTATTGAGTTGATTATTATATTATAGAAGAAATTCAAGCTTTTTGGCACTTTCTGATGGCATACCTCTTCATCAATTCTTCAGTATAAACAGTGTACAGTGGCATTTCCAAGTTTACACATGCAGCCAGAGAGGTACAATTCTTTTGACTATATTTGTAGATTGTCCATCATAACTTACGTGTAAGAAAACATGCTTTCTATATCTAAATTAAAACATTATTGAGCCACTCTGGGGAGATCTCAAAGGTGCACTTCATGGCAGGCTTGGAATTCTGAACTGGAGGTTTTTTGCCAAGACGAATGGGCAGCTTTACCATCAGAGGAACCTCATCCACAGCATGTTTTTTTTTTCATTCATAATTATGAATGACTAATCAAATGAATTTTTTGCATAGCTCAAAATAACATCCACAGTCATCTTAAGGCACAGAATTAAATAATTCAATAATTTTCCAACAGCAGATTAGGAGAAAATAAATACTACAATAAATCACCTCAGGGTCGATCCATGGAGACCAGCAGTAAAATGAGCGTACCAACCCTATGCTTCCACACTGCAGAGCTCAGCAGCGCTTATGCCAGGGGTGCCCAAACTTTCCAGATTGGACCCACAAAATAAGGCCAAAACCCCACTTCATAAAAACGCTATAATCAAAGTATCAAAGTTTAACTGATGATGAACTACAACACTGCTGGGTTTAGCCATGTTCTTTGTTCTCTAACATATTTGATCATCAAAAAATTGTCCCGTGACAATTTTTCAAATCATTTTTTATCATTCAGCTTCCCTTCACCACATGAACACTTTTCCTAAATAAGTTGTTATGGCACAAATCCAATAAAAAGAGTGTATTACCTCTATCTTGACGGGGGCCCCAATCACCATGGTCTTTTCCATGAGGTTCTGGTTGAAGGCCGGCGGGTGGTCGTTCAGGTCCAACACGGTCACAAAGACCTCGGTCACGCTGTACTTGCCCTCTGCGTCCTCAGCCTTCACATAGAAGTTATACTTGGAGCGCACCTCTGCGTCCAGGCTGGCCCAGGCCTGGGTGTAGATGATGCCGGACGTGGGCTGGATCAGAAACCTGGGGCATCATGGGTTATATATGTCAGTATACAGGTAGAAACTTCCTTCTGTCTCAATACATTCTCTACCACTAACGTTGCAATTTACAACTGCATGGCTGTTGTAAATTCAATTACTTTTTTTTGTAAAGCTCTACGTCCAAACAGCAGTCGTCTCGGCGTTCACAAACAGAATCTAAAAGTTTGAACACAGGGGCGACAGTGACTCAGTTGGTAGAGTATTGTCCTTTGAGCCTGAAGGTCGTGGTTTCGAGCCCACCATGACACCTTCTCCACCGACTCCCACTGATGACTGCTGTCATTGTGTCCTTGGCAAGACACTTAACCCCACTTTGCCTGAAGCCTCCGCTGAAGATCAAGGCTATGCCATAGAGCGGCCATCCTCTTGTGGACTCACCACCTGCAGGAGGATCAGTGAGGGTCTGGTGCTATGTGTACTGGGTGGCATCTCTGGCCACCCCCTGACCCAGAAATGGATTAAGGGGTAGAAAATGGATGGATGGATGAACACAGGAAATGCAAAACAACACATAGAAGTCATTTGTCAAATGGAGCAGGATGACCAATGTTCATAAATCCATCCATTTTCTTCCCCTTCCATTTCTGGGTCGGGGGGTGGCAGTAAGAGCTGCACCCAGTTCACAGAGCACCAGCCCCTCACTGATCCTCCTGCAGGTGATGAGTCCACAGAAGCCTTGATCTTCCAATGGGGGCTTTTATTTTTTAATTTTTTTTATTGTATTTATTTTGAGCAAGTAAGTGGACATAGAAATAATTAGTACAAATTAATCACAAGCAACGTAGGTACATTTACAAAACATAACAATAAGAGTAATGACAAAGAGAGTAAATCATACAAACATAACACTTATGGTTGCTCGAAAAGGAGTGGGAAGAAGTAAAAACTAATTTAATCCCGCCCCTCATTACTTCAGTCATTACATAGGTAAAGTAAAGGCTTCCTATTGGCACCAACGTAAATTTAGCACCGATTGCAATATCTTAAACATCTTGATCATAAGCAGAATAAGTTTTGAGAATGTCAACAAAGGACAAATATAAGCCCTACGAGGGCAGACAACTGCATGCAAAAAGTAACAAAAAATACCAACAGTGGTAATGAACAGCAAATACCAACAATGGAAAACATACTCCAAAATGAAAGTAACAAGAACAAGTACATGCCAACATGAGTCGAGGGAAAAGCTACATAGAAATACATTCAAGTCATAATCTCTCTGTATTTGGACCAGACATAGTTTTTAAATGATGACTTAAATCTGTGAATATCTTGGCATTACATTAATTGAGGATCCAAAGCATTCCACAGTTTCACACCACATACAGTCACACAGAAACTATTACGAGTTGATCAAAATTTGGGAAGTTTAAAAATTCCAAGACCTCTTAGATTATAGTTATTTTCTTTAAGCACAAAATATTTGTGTATGTTATGAGGTAACATTATGTGAAATGCTTTGAATAGCATGATGGCTGTGTAGAATTTTACGATGTCTGGGAATTTTTGTATTTTTGATTTAAGAAAAAGTTTGAGAGTATGATGCAAGTAGTTTGTTTTTTGAATGATCCGCAAGGCTCGTTTCTGCACTAACAAAATGGGTGTTGTTGAACATTGGTAGTTGTTACCCCACACTTCAACACAGTATGTTAGGTAGGGTAATACCAACGAACAATATAAGGTGTGTCAATGGTGTAGGTTTGGTTCCAATCTTGGTGGGGACATTCACTACGACCTGAGTCTACACCCATTGACACGGGGTCCAGAGTTTCTCCCCCAGAATTTGTTGTGTAATCACACACTATATTTGCAATAGTGTGTTGGCTTCTATTCTAAACTCAGCTGTAGACTGAATGAGAAGCAGTTAAGGATTTTTTCTAATAGTTAAAACAAAATCAATTGGATCAGAGCTTCTGAGTTTTGTGTTGCGTTCATTCTATACTGACTTAAACCTAATCCAAATCTACATAATAGCCCTCACCTGAGGCTCTAACAGTTCAGGAACTGCTCTCGATACTTGAAATAAATCATGCTCTGATCTTTCAATTTCCTATAATAAATAAAAACAGAGGAGAAAATATTGAATTAGAATCTACAGTGAGTAGCTCACTACATTGTTTGACATATACGATCAATCTCTAAAAACAATTCATAGTCCCATGCATACCTACAAAATTCCAACCTCACCTGATGCACTGAAGGGCCTGTTGCTTCTACCTCAACATTCCCTATATTGTTCTCTCTTGTTGGTTGAGTTTCCTATGTATGTTAACAGAAGATTAATCATCACAATTCATAATTTGCTATTACTTGTGCTTTCGCTTACTTACTTTCCAACTGTTAAAAAAGCTCCTGATATCTTTTATCTTTTTTTGTGGAGGTGGCATTTTTTTCTAAATTATATAAGAAGGTATAGACAATCAAAAACAGACATTTATATACATGAACTGCAGAATCATTTATATAACTTGGCCAATGTCAGAAGTTACATAGTATTTCTCAATACAATGAGTTAACAAGAGTTTGGCAATAAGTAACAGTGTGGATTTTTCTATATTTTCTTTTTTTTATTCCACTCTCAACCCAAAAAGGCAAGTAATGACTCACAGGGCTCTCAAGTATGCAAAATAAAAACTTAAATGACCTGTTGTGGTGTGTTTTGCGCACAACCAGCATGCATCGTTAACGCAATGGAAAATTTAGGTATCCGAGCTTTAATTTCGGGAGCGCTGGTTGCGCTTTGGGAAGAGTCAGGGGAGAGACATGTCAGAGACACAGGGGAGAAACGGGGGAGATACGAGGGAGACCCGCACTTGCAACATGGTTCTGCCTGCATATGGTCCGAGCTCGGTACCATGTTAGAGCTGTGCTTTCACTGAGCGCCGCGGCTGTCATTACAAAGCGGCAGCAGCTGCACCAGTATGGAGGACCAAAAATGACTAAAGTATAAATAAATAAATAAATAAATAAATACAGGAGTATATTAATAAATACATTCATGTTGGACAATAAAAACTAAATATTTACATTGATATGCTAAATATTACTCTGAAATCAAATAAATATACTTTTATTTAGGTTATTTATCAAAATCTACATTTTTTCCTTTATTTATTTATCCATTTATTGCATACATTTATTTATGTATTTCTACATTTCTTCATTTATTTATTTATGTATTTCTGTGTCGCTGCATTTCTTCATTTATATATTTATGTATTTCTACATTTCTTCATTTATTTATTTATGTATTTCTGTGTCGCTACATTTCTTCATTTATGTATTTCTGTGTTGCTACATTTCTTCATTTATTTATTTATGTATTTCTGTGTTCCTGTATGCTAATTAGGTGGGCGGTGCTGAACTCAATCTAGAACAGGATTGGTTAGGATTGCGTGAACTCTGGTCTCGATCATTACTGCCTCACATTACGGTACTCTGTTAGCTAGCTAGAGATCCTCTGTGCACTTTTGTGTGGTATGATGGCAGTTTCAAATGTAAGTTTTTTAGGAGCCATTGCTCATCAATTAAGAGCATTAGCAAATGATGTTAATGATGTTGAGCATAATGCACCTGAGGACTATCTACTCTTTCGGCTGGAAAGACTATTAAATGTTTTAGTTCATCACAGTGCTGACCCAGAGGTAGACTTTGATGCAACTGTGCTGGACGCTCTTCAACAAGCTATACAGCAGCTTCACATCCTCTCACAAACCGAGAAGGCTAAAGCCTAGCGTACATCGGACTGGCAACTGATTATATCCGTCGCATATGAGTTGCTGCCCCGCACACATCGACAATCTGACGAAAACGGGCAACTCCCAGTAGCAGACCAGTCTCGGGAATAACAGCGCGTACATCAACAGCAACTGGCCGTCAACTACAGTGTGTTTTCTGACATAAACTGTTGCGGGCTCGCAATACACGCAATACACACACGTTGTCGGAGCGGCGCATGGAGCGCGCACATCGGGTCATATCTCCGAAACTGAGGACAACTAGTTGCCGAAAAGTAGAACACGGGCAACTGACTGAAACTGGAGACCGACTGATCATCTCCAGTTGTAAGAGCGCGCACATCGACCGATTTCAACTGATCATCTCCATCATCTCCTCTCAGTTGCCAAAAGCCGCCTTGCAACTTGTCTCCAGTTTCTCTGTCGATGTACGCTAGGCTTAACTTTGCTTCTGTCTGGTTGCCCTGGCTGACCTACTGCCCACCAATCCTGTTCTAGATTGAGTTCAGCACCGCCCGCCTAATTAGCATACGGCAACACAGAAATACATAAATAAATAAATGAAGAAATGTAGAAATACATAAATAAATAAATGAAGAAATGTAGAAATACATAAATAAATAAATGAAGAAATGTAGAAATACATAAATAAATAAATGAAGAAATGTAGCGACACAGAAATACATAAATAAATAAATGAAGAAATGTAGAAATACATAAATAAATAAATGAAAAAATGTAGAAATAGATAAATAAATATATGCAATAAATTGATATATAAATAAAGGAAAAAATGTAGATTTTGATGATTAACCTAAATAAAAGTATATTTATTTGATTTCATAGTAATATTTAACACATCAATGTAAATATTTAGTTTTTATGGTCCAAAATGAATGTATTTATTAATATATTCCTGTATTTATTTATTTATTTATACTTTAGTCATTTTTGGTCCTCCATACACCAGGACGTGCACATTCGAGTGCATCGCTTGAATGTGCTTAGAGCAAATAACAGCAAGTGCCCGCTGTCACACATTTCACAGAAATCACATTATCAGCAGATAAAGGTTGTAAATCGTGGATCCGTGGAATATTTTTATCCCTAGTTTATCCTGATTCACACAACACACCCACTTATACATTTTGGATAGTAAGAGCACAATAAGTATTTTTTCAGCCTTTCAACCAACCTGTTTCTTTATTGGAGCCAGTTCTGTTCTGTCTCTGTGCCGTGTGAGCTCCTCGGAACATTAAACAGTGCGCTGACAGATTAGAAATAACGTAAGTACTTTGAATGGTAATAGATCTACAGTACTTTCCTCTGATTACTCACGTGCTACAACGCTCAGGGAACGAAAAAAAACACTTGCTTCACGCTGGCTAACTTTTAAAAATTAAACAGTCGCTCAGTGCTTCAGTTTGGCGCTGAAGAAGACAGCCAATCACTGCAGAGAACGGAACGGGTCACGTGCTGCTGCTGCTGCTGTTGCTCTGGAGGCGAGGAGGAGGCGCGACGTGTGCACAAACAGAAGACATGTGTCCCGGACCGTCCGGGTCACGGGACATCATGTCATTTTGGTGGGGACTTTTTAGTCCTCACCAAATATTGGTGGGGACATGTCCCCATGGTCCCCACGCAAACCTACGCCCTTGAGGTGTGTAGTGCATGACAATCAAGATAATCTTCATGATTGAGATGTTTTTAGCTATTTTTGTCTTCACATGACTTATATGGGCTTTCCGTGACAATTTGTTATCCATGATTACACCTGAGGATATATTTTCAATTTCAACTCCATCAATGTTAATTTTAAACTCTTTATTTTTCTCAGCATAACCAAAAATCATTACCTTTGTTTTATTTAGATTCAGGGACAGTTTGTTTGCATCCATCCATTTTTTTTATTTTGGTCAGTTCAACATTCACAGCATCAATAAGTTGCTTGCAGTCTGAACTACTACAAAAAATGCTAGTGTCGTCTGCAAAAAGAACTAGTATTAATAAATGCGATACTTCAAATATATCATTGATGTAGAGATTCAACAGTATGGGACCCAACACTGACCCCTGGGGACACAATGCCAAGATTTTCAGAGACATGATCCCCCATTTGAACAAACTGTACTCTACCAATTAAATAATCACGTAGCCAGTTTCCAGTGACACCCCTGATACCATATGTTTGTAATTTCTCCAGCAAAGTGGGGTTAAGTGTCTTGCCCAAGGACACAACAACAGTAGTCCTCAGTGGGAGTCGTGAGGTAGGTCGAGGTCGGGCTCTAACCCACAACCTCCAGTCCCAAAGGCCAATGCTCTACCAACTGAGCCACTGTCGCCCAATGTTCATATTTATAAACGTCCACAATTGTACCCAAGATCACCAGATCACCACTGTCCTTAGACCCTCCTACATGAGCAAGGAATGACTCAAAAATAAAAAAATAAAAAAAACAGTGCAAAAAAATTATGAGGAACATTAGGGGAGACACATAATGAGAGAGGGATCCTCTCCCACAGAGGGACAGGCTGTAGAACCAGGACTCAGGATCTAAAGCCTGTCAACAGCATAAAAGCATTTCTGTAATGACAAAAGTGAGACACCGAACACCTGAATATCTGACTCATCTTTTCACTCACTCATTCCATTCAGAACATTCTTTTTGGAGTAGGGGAAGCCAGAGCACCCAGAGGAAACACAGACACAGAGAGAACATCCAAACTCCACAGAGGAAGGCCCATATGGCCCAAAATCAACTTTCCTGCTGTGAAGCACAAGCACTAACTGGTGTGCCATCAGTTATTACATAAATAATTAGGTCAAAAACACAATTACTTCTCTTTTAAAAAGAATGGATCATGTTTTGACGCTCAATTCAATCCATGTTTTTTGTTTACCAGTTTTTTGACATAGAACACTACATAAAATGTTATGTTACACAGTGTGAGCATTATACAAAACAAACCGTGAAGTGAAGGAGCAGTCTATTTCCACTCCTAATCCCATTACAGGCTTACAAGACACAGCCAGAGACCAAAGATCAGCCTATCAGGTCTATCTGAAGTGGGCAACTCAACGCAAAGAGCGAAAACATGAAAAACACAGTCTTTATCCCAACACAGAGCTGGTGTACTTTTAGAACAAAAAGCTTGATATGAAACATAAAGATAGGGGCCAGCTAAGGTTAATCCCAAAGATGCAAAGTGGTTCAGTGCAAATAAATCAGCAGTAATCTAAAAGGTTGTGTGCTGCCTAAGAAGCTAAACGCCAGTCCTGGAATATGCTTTCGCCCAAACCATCTTTATCTAAGTCATTTGAAGATAAAAAGCCCACAGACTCTTGAAAACATGACCTGGTAAATTATTTTAAGAGCTTTACTGTTGCCTTACACCGTGCTTTGTTGAAAAAGAATTGCTTTTTTGCAGCACTCTGAAACTGTCACAATGATTTACAGCTTAGAATTACGAGGGTATATGCAAACGAAAGTGTGTGTGCGTTTTTGTGGCCTTGTAAAAGAGGAGATGGAAAACCATGTCGGCTTTGGCTATAAGCTGTCAGTTTGTTGTTGGGGAAATCTCATAAAGTCCAGCCGGATGTAAGGCCACAAAAGCCTTTGAGTGACGATGAGGTTAAACAAATAGAGCAGGTGAAGACTGGGACTTTGCATCGTTATAAAGTGCAGCACTGTGTGCAGGGAAAGATTAAAACAAAGGCAAATGTGTTACAAATGTGAAAAAAATATGGAAAATGTGCCCTTAGTGCAGGGGTGTCTAATTGTTTTAGTAAGATGGCCACTTCAAAAGTCTTCAGCAGTCCATCAAATAAATTCAGGCTGCTCCGAGCATTAAAATTAGGTAAGACATGTCTATATTGGTTCTCATTTGACAGGGCTGGAGTTGGCTGAATGGCAAATGTTTACTCAGACACATTACCATCAGGCATCAGTATAGTCAAAAGTGTCATGTTATTGACTGGATTCCAATGAGATCTAGGAGGCCTATTGACAGAGCTGAAGTTGGCTGGATCCCACTGAGGACCGCAATGGGTCAGCAAGGCAGAAGCCATATACAATTACGCAATCGGCCCACTGGCCTTAAGTTTGGAGATGCAATTCTTTGTGTGAAAAGGTTTGCAAATGTATTAGCTACTGGTTTGGTTAAAAGGAGGAATAGAGGCTTTCACATGTTCACAGGTGTGTCACTTTCAGGCTGTCCCATTCTCTGTTTCATGGTGATGATGGGACACCTGACTCCGGCCTCCTTCATCTGCACCTGTCGACTGAATCTACGCCCGGCCCTGGATCTACAGCCTGTCCATCTGTGGGAGTGGATCCCTCTCCCAATGTGGACCTCCTCGTGGTTTCTCACTTTTCCCCACTGGTTTTTTTAATGTCATTCCTTACTGATGCAGGAAGAAAAATTGTGAGAACCCTTAAGGGGAGACCCATATTAAGAGAGGGATATAATATCGGCGTGTTGTGATGACAGAAGAGAGACGCCAAACACCTGCACATTGGACTCATTTTTGCGTGCATTGTCAGTGACAGAAACTGACCCTGATCAGAAGTCTCCATCCCTCAGTTCTCAATAGTGTGTGTTTCCCTTTAAAATCAGTTTGGAGTTTTGTGGTAGTTATGGATGAGATTTGTTCTTTATTATGTTAAAGTCAGATTTGTTGTACTTAAGTCTTGCTTCTTCATCATAATAAAGTTTGAGGTTTTGGGACGAATAAAGGATCTCTTAATCTTAATCTTCCCTTCTCTGATAGAAAAGCTGCACATTCTTCAATGATAATATTTGGCTGTGTGTGTAAACTTTACTTACTTTATACTGAGACAGGATTTTATTATCAGTTGTGTGTGTATGTGTGTGAATGCTTGTGCATGTGCGTGTGTGTGTGTGTGTGTGCAAGTGTGTATGGTGTGTGTGTACATGGGTTTTGTGTTGCACAAGAGTGAAGGGTTGGAGTCAAAAAAGCGTCCACTTTGTCCAACCCCTTTTCAAGTCGTTGCATCTGTAAAACTTTTGATTGTATGTTGTGTTGTATTCATTTAGAGTCTACTCACAGATCGGCTCCTGATCCATACAGAGAGTACGTGACATCACCCCATGGTCCAGAGTCTGGGTCTGTGGCCTGCAAGAACATACACGTTTGATCACTCTACTTTTCCTCCATTAGAGCCAATGGTTTCAGGACTGTGATAACAATAGTATTTGCAACATGTTATTCTCATACAAGACTTTCTCCAAAAATACAGTCTGACATGTGGTTTTGTAAGCAAAGCAAAAACAAAGCAGGATTTCTTATGATCTCTGTGGCTCAGATAATCCCTTTGAATGTTGTTTATGGTTTTTGGCCCCTGTGTATTTTGGCTGAATTGTTGTCCCGTCATGTCCCGGATAGAACCATGCGATATCCCAGCTGGAAGTGCCCAGGTCGGACCTAAAACCCACAGAGGACTGAGCCTTTTCTGTGGATAAACCCAGACCCCACACCAAGACTCTGGACCCAGACTTTGTACCTAGCCTCCGGACCCAGACTCCAAACACTTACTCCGGACCAGACCTGGGCACAGACTCTGGACCAAGACTCTGGAAGCCTTCCCTTATACTAGTTGTAACTGTACAATATTAACAAAAACGTGACTTTGACCTTGACATGAACAGTATTTATTTAAGAATAGATGTATAGTCTGCTTTAAACTGCAGAAATCAAATACTATTTTAAATAAGGTCCAAGTTGACTAGACTAATGTTTTCTGTGCCCATGGTTCAAAGCCCTGCGTCTGCGGTTTAATTGCCGCTCGCACCGAAAGGCGACTGATGAAAGAGCTGTGGAAATGTCAAATGTCTGTCTGATGAATCCAATAAGTCCCAGCAGGCATATCTGTTCCTGTCGGGGTTTGAAGTAACACAATCAAATAAAATGAAAGTGCTGGCCATCTGCTATTTGACCTGCTTTGGCTTTTGGCGGCGACAATTAATACAGCGCTTTTTAAATAACCTTTTAGCTCTAAACCCACCAAGCCTACTCCGTCATTAATGCATCTTTACTCCCTATGTCACGTGTACATATTACTCAAAGTGGACACAATAATATGCATATTTTAAAGTTAAAAAGCTTTTTAACGTCTAGTTAGTTCATTGTGTAGTTTGATCTACATTCACATAAATACCGCACCGTCTATATTTCTGACATAACTAATGTGGAAAGTTTGTTTTTTGCCCAGCGTTTTTAAAGAAGGAATTAATATATCTGAGTCTTTTTTATTTTTGCAAATCGGTTTGTTTCGAAATAGTTTTACACCAAGGGGCCTCATAAATTACAGGAACCTGCCGAAAGAAATAACACGTATTGCAATTTCACTGTGTATGTATATATTTTAATTGGTGTATTGCTTTGTTGTTGCGAAGCGTTGTGTGAGGGGCCTGTATAAATAATGCTTACTGTTGGTCTATGTGTAACAAAACTCAGAGATATATGGCAGGATTTGGAGGACATTTTCAGAAAACATGTGCTGTGGCCCTCTGATTGTGGAGGTGATCAGTGTCTGGATGCAGGATTATTCTTAAGGTGGAGTCTGTGCTCTACGGGTGCTTTTCTGTAGCTGTAGAATGTTTAAAAAATGCATTCAAATGTTTGGCTTGTGATCATTTGAGCCAGTACAGCAGGTTTAAGCTCTCAGCCCATAGTTAGGGCAATTCTGGTCTAGAGATGATTCTATAAATCCAGAATTCAATCAAGTTTCGAAAATAAGATTTTTTCTTGAATTTTATCAAAATAAATCTCGACATGAAGTCTCTTGATGGTACTTACAGATATAAGAGGATTTTCATCTAAACCTATCCTCGCTGCTCATTTTAGACATGTAAATGTGCACTTTATTTATCCCCTCAGGGAACTTTGTCTTCTGCATTTGACCCATCCTGGTCAGGAGCAGTGGTCGCCGTAGTACAGCGCCGGGAACCAATCTCCTGACCAATCTCCTGACCAAGAAGAGCAATTGATGCTCTTCTTGGTCAGGACTACCAGAGTTGGAGGATTTACATACAGTTCATGTTTTTAGTGGTAGGGCAAACCGGAGCACCTGGAGGAAACCTACACAGACACCGGGAGAACATGGAAACAGCATTGTGAAACTAGTGTTTCATTGTGAAACTGGTGTTTCACAATACTGTACTATATAATTCCCATTGCAGCAGCGGAAACAACATCCACCAAAACCTATCCATAACTTCCCTTTCCCGCCACCGTCTCGGCCTCAAGGTGAGATCCTCCGCACACAGATCCATCATTCCTTCGCTCCGCTGCGTCCGTCACACTATTCATCTGACCGTATTAATTTGCATCTGTTCAAATGGGGAGAAAAAGGGAATTCTCACCGTCACTGTGACCACGTTGGTGCCTCCAGGCGAGTTCTCTGGGATGCGGGCAATGTAGTATTCCGCAGAGAACTTGGGCGCGTTGTCGTTGGTGTCCAGAAGATGGATGACGATGTCCGCAGTGGCACTGAAGCGCTCCGGAGTGTCCACCTCCAACGCCAGCAACTGAAACAGGACAGAGCTGAGAATAAGCTCCAACTATTCAGTTTGTAAAAGGATAATCTATTATCTTGAATAACACTAAAAGTGGGAAATTTTTCAACTACATTTTACTATATTTCAGTATTATAATAATATATCTAATTATACCAAACAGGGGTTTTTTGACTACAAATTGGCTTGTCAGAACAACTTTTTCTAAGGCATGTTCAATGTGAACACTACAACTAAGTCATGGGAGAGAGGTGTACCGTCAGAGAGTGTTTAGGCCTCTGTCTGGTCTGACTGAGTGTGCGCGTGTGTGTGTATGCAGGCTTTGTGTTGTAAAGTAAGGTGTTGGATAAGGCATCCCTCTTCAAATGGTGCATTTTTGTGTCATGTCATGTCATGTCATTTTCATCTCCTTTATTATTCCATTTCTGGGTCGGGGGGATGGCAGTCAGAGCTGCACCCAAATCACACAGCACCGCCCCCCTCACTGATCCTCCTGCAGGTGGTATTGCGTGGACCCACGCAATGCATTTCTGTGTATCCTGTTTTATTGTGTATAAAATGGGAATACGGTTTAAATGTAGTAATAACTAATTTTAGGGGTGGTTTAGACCCCACTAGCAGGCTGCTTACATGTGGATCAGGTGAAGAAGGGACGGGACAAATCGGCAGTGGTTGGGAAAATGGGAGTCATTTTAAAAGAATATTCTTATTAACCGTGCTAAAATGTAGATATGACTTAATATTCCAGAATCACCTTGAACGTGAGAAAGTGATGCCTCTCATAGTCGATGGCGGCAGAGTCCTCCACCAGGATCGTGACCTGGGCCTCGTTCAGCACTGTCTGCGGCACCACTTTGAGCATCCGACTCGGTCCAATCAGACGTAGGTTGAATTTAGCGTTGGCCCCCTGTGGAGCACACAGGGTTGCATAACATGAGCAGTCATATGAAGATGTATTTATAGTAATCCAATGAAAAGAACGCACGAAACAACACAACGTAATCTGGATTTCAATCAATAAAATGGAATGGTACACGTTGAGCTTATACCGTCATTGTGTGAGAGATGGAATATCAGTTGCAGCTGTTCTATTCTGGGAAATTTTACAAAAACCTCAATGTGGTAAGTAGGAAAAAGACAATTGCATAATCGGACCATTTAATAATTTTGTCTGTGATTATGATGGCTCAGACCACTCTATCTGCCTCATTATGATGGCTCAGTAATGTAAGAAGTTTTAGCGCTCTTGACAAATACTATGAGCAAAGAAGAGATTTTAATAATGTTTGTTTAATAAAATAAAGTAAAAAACTATAATATAATAATTTTATGAAGATTGAAGCATACAAGAGGAACAGCTATGATGTCAAGTGCAGCAAAAAGTCCTATGGACAAAAGTCTATGTAGGAGGGTGAGCCTGCAAAGTCAATCGCAGGAATGGTAAAAAAAATAAAAAATAGACCTCACTGAAAATATTTCAGTGAGGTCTGCTGCAGCCTTTAATCTCTGTCAAATACTTCAGTCAGTGCCTGCTGTTTTCATCTGAGTCTCATAACATTCATTAAAATCGGATCACTACTTCATGCTGTCTTCACTCAAGAGAAAATCCCTGTGAGTCACTATTTGGCTCTTTAGGCCTAGAGCTGATTGGCTGAGTGAGGGGGGTCCTCTCTTTTTCACATCCCTGTCTGAAAGAGCTGATCTACAGATGTGACAGAAGCCAAAACAACATATATGTGAAAACTAGTGATAGAACCAGACTGTTTTAAGAGTGAGGTTAGATTTTATTCCATTGTTCGATGTTATGTGATTTGAAAGTTGGGTATCCTTGCTTTAACTTCCCACCCTGAACATTTTTCTTAGCTGAAAGAGAGCAATATCACTCCTCCTGATTAACTTGATTTGGTTGGTATGGTATGAAATGTTGGCTCCACATTAGCCATCTTTGCATCTGGCATTGATGGTTTCAATGTATTGATGCCGAATTCTTCCTGCAATCAATGGTTTTTAAAATGTATCTGTTAAAGCGGATTTTAACTATTTAAACTCAAAGTTTGTTTTGTCAGGAAATTAAAACATTTCATAACAAAAAATATTTTAAGTCAAAAAGATGAGCAACTTTCACACAAACAGTGCAAAACTTACTCAGTTACATCAGTTCTGTCAGGAGGACTGGGACAGAATTCCACCAATTTACTGAGAGCCGGAACTAAGCTTTATGTATGGGCATTTCCCTATTGGGCTTCATTGAGTTTGCGGGTTAGCATTGGACATCTATATTCATGTCTGTGGGTGTAATGTAAATATATGCCGTGAACAGTATGAAGTAACCTGGTCGGAGTCGTTCACGGTGATCCGCAGCCCCCTCAGGATCTCCCCTTCTGCCGGGTGCTCGTACATGGTCAGCTCAAACATGTTCTGTCGGCCGCTCTCTCCGTAGAACGTGGGAGGGTTGTTGTTCAAGTCCACCACTCGGATCACGACTGTTGTACTGGAGTGCTCCAGCAGATCTCCGCCTTCATTCACCTCTGTGGCCTGGGCAAAAACAGGCTTTTCTGATTAGTATTTGTGGTGAGAAAGTAAAGTTTATTTGTGTTGCGCCTTTCACAGACCAGGATCACAAAGCGCTTCACATTTAAAAAGATAAAAATAATACACGTAGATACATAAGATGGTCCTCATGAACACAGTTTACGGTGAGTACAGTGCGGCAAGAAAGCCTGTCTAAACCGGTCTTCAGTTGGGACTTGAAATTATCTATAGACTCTAGCTGTGACCGCCGAAGCTCATTCCAAAGGCGAGGAGCAACAGTCTGAAAAGAGTCTGTCTCCTCGAGTTTTAAAACAAGTGCGGGGGACCATCAACAGGGTCTTAGTGAAGGACCTCAGGCTCCTGTTGGAGACATAGGGCTGGATTAGGCCATGTATTCATTCAGGCGGTAGACCATGAATAGCCCTAAATGTCAGAACCAGAATTTTAAAATGGATTCTATGTGGGACAGGGAGCCAGTGAAAGGACTTCAAGATATAAGAAATATGGGCTTTTGTATGGGTGCAGGTCAAAAGCCTTGCAGCAGAATTTTGAACTACTTGCAAACTAGACAAATCTTGTATACTAAGACATGTAAGCAGGCTGCTACAACAGCATCCACTTGTTCTTGACATACCCTGACTCGGATGTTGAAGATTTCCCTTCTCAGATCTGCTGGGCTGGTCAAAAGAGTGATGTGTCCACTGAATTTGTTGATGCTGAATACACCGTCGTCTCCTTTACAGAGTGAGAAATGAAGATATTAATAATAACACAGTAGTGGGTTGCCATATATGGAGGTACACATGGCTTATGGAGTTACCATCTCAGACCATCAACCAGTCAAATTCACTTTCACTATCGCAAGTTAATGGGCACAACTGTTCAGAGATATTGAACAACAAAGCAACTGTACATCGGTTGTCATATATTTTCTATTTTTACATTCCAAAATATAACATGTAAACAGTGTATAGTCTCATTATCACTTCGAATGATCAAAAACGATGCATAATATCTCTTCTCTAAGAAAGTTAGTCACGGAATAATGCCACATATTTACAGTTCTGCCGACTTTGGGTTTTCTGGGTGTTTACCTTTTGATTGTGTCCCGTATCCATAATCTGGTTATCTCTACAAGCTGATTTTGATTGTAAACTATGCTATTGATTTGCAGTAATTTCTTACCTTCTTCAAAAGAGTACACCACTGAGTTTGGACTTCCAACATCACCGTCTTTGGCTTGCACATTAAATATTTCCGATCCCTACAAATTGCAATGACCGGTTTAGACAAGCAATTGTTGTCTTGACACACGTTAACAGGTTCATACACAAGCGACTTACCGGTGATGTGACCTCGTAGACGTATCCAAAGTATGGCGTGCCCATAAAAACGGGAGGTGTGTCTTGTGCGTCAACAATATGGATGGTGAGGGTGGCAGAGGAGGAAAGAAACTGCTCCTTTCCATTGTAGTTTCCACCCCCGTCCTAAATTACAACCATACATTTCAGTATTTCCAATTCAAAACCTTGACTTCTCTTTAGTATGTCTTTAGGATATGTCTGTTTACCTTGGCAATCACAGTGACAAAATGTGTCTTGGTTTTCTCGTAGTCCAGGGTCTCTCCAGACTTGATTTTCAGGATTCCGCTGTATCGGTCGATAGTGAACAAACTGGCCAACGGGTTCTGACCCACACAAAGTCATAAGAATAGTCACTTACGATAGTGTACATGCAGAACTCACGGACCCGCTTATCTTCATAGATATATTGTATTTATCGATCACAAAGTGGACAGGGAGTGGCAGATGATCAGAGATGTTAGATGATGAGTAATCAAAATCTTTGTTTGTCAAAAATAGGTATTTCTATTTAGGAAGGTATTTTTATAATCCAACAACCCATTGTGTAGCACATAATCTCTATGAAAATGTTGTCCAGGGGACTCACTCGAGCTTTTTTTGTGTTTAATTTTTTTTAAATGTCCCATATTTACAGGATCCAAACAACATATCAATAAAATCAAGAAGAAGAATAGGCCAACTAAACGGTTATCAATATCAATATAATTACAAGCCTATACACCACTATAGCTTTACTTTGACACCTGCCTTTCCCAAGGTCTCCCATCACAATCGCATCTTTGATATAAAAAGATCCGGCTTTCCAATGGAGGAATGGAGGTAACATCAAGAACTCTGAGCTCTAATTATTAAGTCACCTGCTAATGTCTGAACCCATTGTACAATTTATTCACCGTCACACTTGATCTGACTTCAAACTCAAAACATAACCAGACATGTATTTGCACACATTACTTTTAGCCGTGCACATGAAGCTATAACGCTATATGGTTATTGGTTAATATTCTGTCACATGACTCCAAGCAGTCATCTGGCTGTGAACATGGAGACAACCACAAACTAGGCCACACTCTAAATCCTTTGTCCATCTGGATGTATATAGTGGTGGCCTTATGCTGGAGGGAGGGGGCATTGGCTGAAGTTTCTCCTCGTGCCTGTACGGGACAGCTGTTTGTTAAGTAATAGCCTAAAAAGCACATTCTGTACCAATATATTCTCTATACCTGGAGTAAATATGAATTTTTGCTTTCACACGCTTTGGCTAAAATGTGGACAGTTAAATTAAAACCCTTCTTTGTCGAGTAAATAATGTGTGGATTCCAAATGTTTTTGAGCATACCTGTAAAAAGTAGGTTACAGAGCCACCTGAGCCCGTGTCTCGATCTACGGCCTCCACACGATAGATGCTGCTTTCAGATTCAGTTGTCTGAAAAGAAAATGTACATTTTTAAATCAGAAAAAGGTTTAGAAGTAACAAAGCGGTTTACAATTGCTTTTTTTGGGGGGGGGGCATTTTTCTCTCACTCCACACAGAGATGGGAGCGAGGTCGCCAGTACAGGAGGCGCATGCCAGATCTATTGTACATGTTTTTAGTGGTAGGGGAAACCGGAGCACCCGGAGGAAACCTACGCAGACACGGGGAGAACATGCAAACTCCACTCAAAACGGCCCTGTTCCGGCCCGGATTCGAACCCAGGACCTTCTTGCTGAGAAGCAAGAGTGTTATCCACTGCCACCGTGCCCCTCAAGAAGTCAAGAAATGAACAGGGCTTCAGAAAGTTGTGTTGGACATGACGACTTGAGACTTGAGTTCTCCTGGACAACTGATCAAAACTATGATAGCAGTGTTTGGATCAAGACTTGAATTTAGTCCTGGATCTACAGCCTCAGTCCTGGGTCTACAGCCTCAGTCCTGGATCTACAGCCTCATTCCTGGACCTACAGCCTCAGTCCTGGATCTACAGCCTCAGTCCTGGATCTACCTGGATCTACAGCCTCAGTCCTGGATCTACAGCCTCAGTCCTTGACCTACAGCCTCGGTCCTGGATCTACAGCCTCAGTCCCAGGTTCAATTTAGCAACTTTTCTTCCTATGTGTCCAATATAAATTCAAATATATATATTTCGTTCTTGTTCTCAATCTCACAATCTCTTGTCCAATTTGTGAAAAATATTCCGCATCTTACCCCTGAATATTCAGCTCAGGTAATGGTAGATTCTGAATGTAAGACACACTTATCACTTTTAGTTTGAATGGAAGTTCTCTGTATTAGGAAATAAGTCAGACCATATTTCTTTCTTCCCCTCAATTGGACGTCTTACCTCCAACACACTGGTCATTCCCGGCAGATTTAGAAACTCTGGCTTCTCATCGTTGGTGTCCATAACAAACACTGTGACTCGCTCCTCAACCTAAAACACAAACTATAGTCAAAAAGCCACATTTTCAAGGTATAAGCCTCTATATGATCAGTCACTACCTGGCTTTGTCCATCGCTGATGCTGACCAGGACATCAATGGAGTCTTGTTTCTGCAAAAGTAGCAATGAAAAAGTGGTGAAATATGAAGAATAATAATGACAATAGACCAAAATGACTGCACCTCTCTGTCCAGCGCCTCGATGAGTGTGATGATTCCTGTGTTTGGGTTGACGCTAAAGTACTTTTTGGATCCCGGTTCAAAGGAAAGGCCGTAGGTCACCGTGCTGCCTTCGGGGTCAGTGCCGTTGAGGCAGTAGATCTGTGAGCCTAAAGAAACATACTATTTTGGTCATAAGTTTACATACAACCAAGTTTCTACACAATTCCTGATATTTAATCCAAAGAAAACTTTATATGCTCGGCCAGGTGGAGACCTATATTATTTTCATAATGTCAAAATAGTCATCATCAAATAATACGAGGGCCAGAGGTTTACATACACTTAACTCTTAGTAGAATGGTCATCAATCTGTCTAACTTGAACCAAACGTTTTGAGAAGCCTTCCACCAGCTTCTGACAAGACATTGATGGAATTTTGACCCACTCCTCCTGACAGAATTGGATTGAGATCTGGGCTGTACTTAGGGTGTACTTAGGGTCATTATTCATTTGTAACAGCTATATGCAACCAAGGATGATGCAATTGATTTCAGATTAGGTAATGTCAATCTTCTATGTCTACAGTTTGCATTTCAAAACTGTGAATAGTTTTGTGCTTTGGCCGAAACTAGTAATAAACCACAGACACTGGTGAGGATAAGAAGATGGTTCTGCTGCTAAAGGCTGTATTAAAGTGGTTGTGTACCGTCAATATCAATGAGTATCAAGGAGGACATTGGGAGAAAGATTGCATGAATTGGTAATTGGTTGAGACATGGTTTCTCGTATTAGTCATCTATTTAGGTCTCTGCACCGGCATCCTGTGGCTCAGAGAAAAGACAAGCGGCTCTTCTTGTGTATATGCCATGTTTGTGCCATATGAACCATCTCAGGGACTGGTCTTCAAAACATAAAACAAACATTCTCTGTCTAATCTAGGTTTAAATGATTTAGCTGTCCATGTGACTTAACTTATCAATACACACCTTTCCCACTTCACCATGTCCTTTTCCTAATCAGTAATACAGAATACATCCTTTCATATATACATGCTTACAACCATGTGAGCTCCACCTCAGCTCCAGGGCAGCAGGTCCACACCAACAAAATCGCCCTTGTCTTGCCTCCTCATTCACATCAAACCAATTAGCACAGTGGCTTATTGCACTCTCTTCAGCACAACAACCTCACATCAACGCTGGCTTTAGACATGAGTCATAGATGATTACAAGAACCCTAGCTTACCCTTTTCTAATTAGTCTGGCACATGTTGTATACACCAGAGGGACTATAACAGACCTGGGCAAATTACGGCCCATTTCACATTTCTTTGTAGCCCGCGGCTCCTTCCCATCAGCTAACGTCTATTTTACCTCTGTTTAAATAAGTGGGTCAATATCCAAAGGTATAGCGGTGGTCTGTTGGCCTTTTAAAATTAATAACTAAGACTAAGATTTGTAACTTTACATGTGCTACCATGATGTGATACCAATATATACCCAATGTTTCCTGGGTTTAAGACCACGGCGAAGAACTTGTCCCCCGGGTTTAAGACCACAGAGAAGACCCTGTTCCCACGAAAAGGCAGACCACAGAGAAGGCCCTGTGCCCTGGGTTTAAGACCACAGAGAAGGCCCTGTGCCCTGGGTTTAAGACCCCAGAACCCTGTCCCCCGTGATGGTAGACCACAGAGAAGGCCCTAAAATCTTAAAATGAATTCTTAAATTAACGAGCATAAGAAGGCCCTGTCCCCCGGGTTTGAGACCACAGAGAAGACCCTGCCCCTCGGGTTTAATACCACAGAGAAGACCCTGTTGCCACGAAAAGGCAGACCACAGAGAAGGCCCTGTATGAGAAGGCAGACCACAGAGAAGGCCCTGTATGAGAAGGCAGACCACAGAGAAGGCCCTGTATGAGAAGGCAGACCACAGAGAATGCCCTGTGCCCCGGGTTTAAGACCACAGAGAAAGCCCTGTCCTTTGTCTTTAAGACCACAGAGAAGGCGCTAAAATTGTAAAATGAATTATTAAATGAACAGTGCAAAGAAGGTAAAATGAGGTAAATGTGTTTTGAAATCCATTACAACTATTCTCCCATTAGCTGAGGCCAGTCTCAGCCGTTGCATGTGTCCATCTCTGCTGTCCCTGCGCTTCACTCATTGTGTTAAAGAATTGGTCGTTTTCACCACGACAACACCCTATAGTGTATAGGTTTCTGTCTCTCACTTACCAATGGGCGTGTCTTCAGAGAGGCTGAAAAGAGCCATGTTCCCATTCTTGCTGTACGGTCCATTGTCGTAGAAGAAAGGCCCGAAGTCTGCTTGAGCTGCAGGAGGACACACACCGCATTAAAGCTGGGGTACGCAATTTTTAAACCACAAACAATGGAACTACTGTATGTAATAAAATGCATACAATTAGGTGCTCGCTCTGAAAACCTTTTAGTTCCATCACTAGTTTTCACATGCATGCATTTGAAGCCTGTATCACATCTTCAGTTCCTTTTTCCAGACAGAAAGGTAAAGTAATAGGACAATACTAACTCAGGCAATCATCTGTTATTGTCGGAAAGTTCAAAAGAAATAATTTGGCTTTTTCTCCAAACTTCTGTCCTGTCCCATCTGGAAACCATTACATAAGGTTTTGAACCAGAAACTCTCTTGTTACTGGGCCCAACTGTGCTACTACAAAAGTATTTACACCTCGATAAAGCATGGAGAACAAGCAGTTTATTAAGAATAAGTCAGGCTTTGTAGATTATTTACCTTTAATTACCGGGAAAGTGGCTCAGAGATTTCAGTCGAGACCCCTGACAGTTGCCTCATAAATGTATGGCTACATCATTCATTTACTTCCTGTTTAAAATTACCACACTACCGGCACCTAACTTTCAACACACCAAAGATATATCTAACTTCTTCCCAAAGGGGAGTCCAAGGCTCCCTGGGGGTATCTCAGAGCTAAAACTGAATTTTAAACAAATCTCTGTACATACATTTACTGCTCTTTATGACCTAAACTGTATTTATATTTGCCAAAGTGTCAAATAGTGACTCTCAGGGCTCTGTACATGTCACAATATAACATGTTTTCTAATAGGAGTGTTGAGAGTCCAATATTTTATGGATAATGAAAGAAGAAAATATGTGATATGAAAAGAATAATACAAGTAAGATGCAATTTCATCAAGGCGTTAACTCTGCCAAGGTCCTAAACCCAAGCCCTTGTTTCTCAGCCACTTCAGGATTATAGGCGTGTTACGTCAAGCTCCAAAAATACTCTTACTCCATACATAGTCGCTCATAATCTCATGCATTTCTTTCATACAATATTTTCCAAGTGGACAAATCTTTTATCTCTCCAAATGCATTGTACATAATCCATAGCACACAAGATCAGAGCTGGACCTTTGATCTGACCAAAGTTTCCCTTTTCTTCTAATTTAATCCCAATGTAATACATTTGCTACCAGCCTGAATCAAAAAGGCCTAGTCTTTTCATTGAAATGGACAACTCTTCATTCATTAGTATACCACTTCTATCCCATATAGTACTAGATCCAGGAATCCATAACAAAAGTCTACTGAAAGCCTCATATCTTACCGAAGCCGGAGTGAATGAAGAGGAAAACTTGTGTCAGTTGCAGAAGCTGGACATTCCTCATGGTAAATGGGGCAGTCATGTCATTTCAGCAGGTACAAGGGCTCACGGAGAGCGCTCACCGGGGGATCTGAGGAGACTGGATCTCAGGCAGGTGCACCGCGGATAATCCAATGGAGCCTCTTGACTTAGAGAGTTACCGCTGGGTCCCTGCACTCCCACTTGACAACAGCAGATGACTTGTAAACAGGCGTGAGAGTAAGCTGGGGGTCCTGTCGGGAAAGGTGTTCAAGGTTGTGGAAATGGCATGGGAAGTTTACAAGTGCTTGACAAGAAAAAACAACTTAAATCCTAAATAATAACAGTACATTAAAAAGAGCGTTTTTTAAATGTGCAGGGCGACAGTAGCTCAGTTGGTAGAGCACTGGCCTTCAGGCCTGAAGGTCGTGGGTTCAATTCCCACCTCTGCACCTTCTCCACCGACTCCCACTGATGACTGCTGTCGTTGTGTCCTTGGGCAAGACACTTAACCCCACTTTGCCCAAAGCCCCCACTGAAAGATCAAGGCTATGCTCACACTCAGAGAGCAGCCGTCCTCCTGTGGACTCACCACCTGCAGAGGATCAGTGAGGGGCTGGTGCTATGAGACTTGGGTGGCATCTCTGATTGCCACCCCCCTGACCCAGAAATGGATTAAAGGGTAGAAGATGGATGGCTGGATGGACATTAAAAAGAGAAGATACAATCCTTCAGTTGTTGTAAAGATAAACAGAACTGTTTTAACCTAAATTTGAACATTGTCAGAGTAGAAGTCCCTGATTTAGATTTTTAGGAACAAATCTGAATTGATGTGTCCCGTGTTTAGTACTGACTGAGTCCCAGCAGGAGGCCAGTCCCTGTGCTCCTCAGAGTCCCAGCTGGAGGCCAGTCCCTGTCCTCCTCAGAGTCCCAGCAGGAGGCCAGTCCCTGTGCTCCTCAGAGTCCCAGCTGGAGGCCAGTCCCTGTCCTCCTCAGAGTCCCAGCAGGAGGCCAGTCTTTCATGGAGAGACTTTTACACACACAGAGCTACTTTGGAAAGGCTTACAGAATAATGTTGCAGTGTCCCATACATAGATTTGTGTTTTGGCTATTTTTTGTATGTGGCTCATCCAATAGTTTTGTCCGACCTCTCAGCATCGGTATTCTATAAGTGATTTTTTGATTTTCTCAAACTGAAACAGACAACAAAAACAATTGAGTGGATATTTGATACGGACACAGCACATAAATGCGGGATCAAAGGTAAATATTCTGGTTTGTGGCCACAAAGCTAATTCCCTACTTGCAGTCCAGAGGCAGCACAGAAATAAGTGTAAAATGCATACAGTAAGATTCAAAGATGAAGGTCAGCTTCAGTGATCACATGACTGTTTGCATTTCACCTGAGCTCAGTTTTGAAGCTTACAGACCACCAATATGTCTGTGGTTTTTGTTTCTATTTATTTATTTTGGACAATGTGAATTTATGATTAGCAGTCCTGTAAATACACTGTATTGTACTTTGGACTTTTATCGATCCATTGCCGCTAACACACACTCATTCACCCTGAACAATGACACATAGCGGAAACCCAGCAGACACGAGGGAGATCATGCAAACTCCACACCGAAAAGCCCCGGCTGGAGGTGGAATGGAACCCAGGATCGTCTTTCTGTGAAGCACAAGTGTCCATAACTGTGCTGGCATTATATTATCTGGTTATTATGCAAACACTTTCCAGAACTTTTCACAACAAAAGAAGCAAACAATTAATTTAAATAGATCTAGTTCATTACTCAACGCTCTGGCAAAAATGGATTAAAACATCTTCATGGACAGTACAAAACAAACTGAGGCTTGTCCTCGACCACCTCCTGGTCACCTCCACTGCCAGAACCAGGGGTGATGAGTATTAAAAACCTTTCTTCTGAAAACATTGTATATCCAATATTGTTTTATTTATTTATTTGAATTTAGGACAGTACATATTCATCAATGTGTCTGCAAACAGCGTCAACATAAATATGTTGGAATTAGCACAATAGCTAAATTGCATCCATTGTCCTAAGGCAGGTGTGAGACACACACACACACAGTTAGTAAAAGTACAAACAATAAGTCAACAAGAAGACAATAATTTAAAAGAGGAGAGAAAGAGCAAGAGAAAGAGAAAGCCCAAGGAAGAGCAGATTATCTATGGGAACATGACTGGTTTGATTTCAATCAATGTTTGAGGACTCCTTTAAATGTTTGGTAGGTCCCACAGTTTCGAACGTGTTCCGGTAAAGTGTTCCATAACGTTGTGCCTCTGATGGACGCCACCATTTGGCTGAAATTAGTCCTGCGCCTGTGTATGTTACACTCTCCTCTGGTTAGTGCTCTGGTTCTGACTCCACGGTTGTTTTTTTTTACATATAAAATCCATTAAGAGAGGAGGAGCAAGTCCATTTAATACTTTCAAAATAAGGCAAACATCCAGAAACTTCTGATAACTCTCAAAATCTAAAATGTTATGTTCTGGGCTGCTCCCTGGACTCTGTGGAGGAGGTGAGGGACAGGAGGGTGCTAGCCAAAGCCACCTCCATCATGAACAATACCTCCCACCCACTGCACAGGACTGTAGAGGAGCTGAGGAGCTCCTTCAGTGGAAGACTGAGGCACCCTCAGTGTAAGAAGGAGCGCTACCGCAGGGCCTTTATCCCCACCGCTGTCAGACTGTACAATAAGTCACTTTAAATGATCACTGTGTGAAAACCTGCACAACTATTGACACTGTTTCCAATTGACACGTTTGTTGCACATAATTATTGTCACTTTATTGTACATATCCTGCATGTAACATGTTTGCACATTTCCTCCTCTTGCACAATCTGAGTGTCCTATCCATGACAAATGTGACATGTAAATTTCTCCTATGTGAGATAAATAAAGCAAATCTTATCTTATCTTAATACATGGAACAGAAAGACGTAAGATGTAAATAATGTATAAGATGTAAATAATGTATATCTATGTTTACACAGGATCATCGCGGTGTCGCTGTGTGGTTGAACGGATAATATTGGAGTTGTGTTTCAATCCTCTGCTGTGTCTTTTCTCTAATCTCCAATCAGTGTAATGTCGTCCATTAATTACATTAATGTGCGCTCAGAGATGGAATGTGCGGTGTAATCCTGCTACTGTTAAATCCACACTAAAAGACACATTCAGGCTGGACTGTCTAACACGGCAAGAAGAAAACAGTACAACCACAATTTCAGTGAGATTTATTTTGGTAATTTATAGTCAGTTTGGCCATTCTACTATTTTTACTATTTCTTGGTTTTGTTAATCAACAAAAATAAAAGCTTGTACAAAATGTTGCGTCTGAAAATGTCCTGATGATAGCTGGATTATTTTATGTGATTTTTTAATTTTTCAACTTTAATACCAGTTGATCTTTAATGAAAGATTATGTTTCCTTTATACCCATCAATAGTGTTGTGTTATTGTTGCGTATCATATCATATACATCTCCTGTGTCTACATATGTATTGTATCATGTAAAGTGAGATTTTGATGGTATAAACAGAAAGATACCAAGCGCTGCTCATGAAGTCCAAGGAACCGCCCATAATGATTATTGTCAATATCAATATCAATTCTCAATAAAATAATTAGTATTATTAATAACAATAATACATCAGTTTTAAATTGTGCTTTTGAAACACCCCATTAAGATTTTTGTCGTAGTTATTTCTGTAATTTTAGTTTAAAGAAAAATCCTACATTTCCTTCTGAATTGTGTGACACAAAGAGAAGGACATGAAGGTTACAGCTGAACACTGACAACATGTCGCACGCCAGAGGATTTACACGTAACAATAAACCTTTTACTGCCATTCTCACTCAGGACAGGGCATCGGGACTAATCTGTGCACGTGCGCTGCTAAAGACTATTGTAAACAATACTCACCGACAGCTTGACCACAATGTAATGAGCGTTTTCCTCGGTAAAACACAGGTGAAAATAATAGAATATTGTTATAGAGTCATTCTACTTTTTTACTTCAACAAAAAATACAATTGTTATAATATTCTAATTAAATCTTAACGTTGTTTATTGAATCAGCTGAGGGTGGATCACAGTGACCAGTGAAGAGAGACTGGACCGTGGAGGTCCTGCTGAAGGCAACAGGACGACTCCCTCTATTACAAATATTAACGTTTAGATAAAAGTAAATAATAAAAAAAATTTCCTTATATGGGTAAATAAGACAAACCGAGAGATGAGGATATTAAATTGTCTTTTACTTGATTAGGATCAGATTCTAACAAAGAAAGCACAGCAAAAAAAAACAAGACAAATATTTTAGTATTTGTATTAAAGACATAAAGGGCTCTGTCCATGACGTGATGATCTTCTGTCTTACAGAGGAGGAGGATGTTGAGGACATTTTGGTGCTGGTTTCCTGCATGAATGAAGATACTGTACAAACAGCTTGTGTGTTTAGATAAGAGAACGATAATGCGGGGTAGGTTTCCTCCAGGTGCTCCAGTTTCCCCTACCACTAAAACCTGTAGAATAGTTCTGGGGGAATGACTGCATGTTTGTGAGTGCAACTGTGGGACGGAGGATGCAAATTGTATGTGTATTTATTGTTTATTTGGTTGAGACAGTACATGTTAAAGAACACATCACTCCGCATTGTAGCCACGGGCTGATTTCCATCCGTTGTCCCACATTCACACTCACAAACACACACTCATTCACCCTGAACAATTGCACATGTTTTTAGTCCCAACATTTTATTCCCAAAGCTACAATCCAGAGGGGTGTGTTCTTTAACATGGTAGGGAAAACTGGAGCACCTGGAGGAAACCTATGCAGACATGAGGAGAACATTAAAATATCAAAGTTGTACCCAAACTTAAATGCACACTTGGATAAATAATTTAAATTAAATTAAAATTATTTTTGTAAAGCCCTAAATCACAACAGCGGTTATCTCAGAGGACTTTACAAAGCTGTCGATTTGCCAACACAGATCAGAGAATCAAATGAA